TCGGCGCGGTGCGGCGCGGTGCGACGCGACCGACCCCGTTTTAATTCTTCCAACCAACCTCCTTTCGATCATCGTATTTAATCGGTTGCGAGCGAAATTATAAAAGCGAAAAAAAAAGGAACAACGCGTTGATCGATCGACGACGAACCGAGACACTTATTGTTAGTAAATGATGTATAAAAGAAAAGATAAAAAAAAAAAAAAAGAAAATAACGAGGGAGTTCGAGGAATCGACTCTATTCGACTTTTCGAAACGTTCGCGCGTCGCGGATTCTTTGGAATTTTTCCGATCGCGAAAACGATCGAGACGATATCGGCTTGTTCTCTGGAATCGATCGAAATTCGAATTCGTTGGTCTAATCTCGACTTTCGTAAACGCGATAATAAGTTTACGTCGAACGCGTTTACGAAACTCGAACGGTTACGCTTGTATTGTAAATATGCGATGCAATAACACTTACGTTTTTAACGTTATTTTTCTCGTTTCTATCAAGTTTGCCGTTTCCCGCTTCTTTCGAGATCCTGTCGGCACCCTTTACGAACTTTAATTATCTTACTCCTCTATACGCCTCTATCTTCTTCCTCTTTCTTTCCACCGTCCTTCTTCTTTCCTTCCTTCCTTCCTCTCTCCTTTCTTATTTTCTTTTCTATATCGCTTTTCCGTAATTTCTCTTTTATTCTTCTTTCCTACTTTTTTGCCCTACCTTTCGCGCCCTCTTTATCTCTCTTTCCCTCTGTTCTCACCCCTTTGTTTCCTTTGCCCCGACCCACCCTCCCATCCTCCGTTACCTATATTCCTCTTTCTTGCTCCTTTCCTTCTTTCCCTTCCCTTCACGCCCGATGGCTCGGTGTTCGCTCGCGATCACTCTCTCTTCGTGGTAAATTTCGAGCGGACGAAAAACTTTTCCCGACCGCACACAACGACGCGAATAAATTACGACGTCCTCTCTCTAGCGATTTTCTTTTTCTATACGCTATCGGTCGCCGATAGAAAATGTCAAAATCGCTGGTCGATTCGCGATATTATTCCTCGGACACGTCTTTCGCAACGAAAAATTCTAACGCTTACTTTGTGGTTTAATCACTGATCTTTGATGAAACACCATATTTTCGTATCGTTGCCTCGCACTAAACACTTCCTTCTTCGAGGTAGTTCCTGAAACGTCGCGGAAGGAAACACGCGAGACAAGTACCACCGCGGAACTGTGGTATCGCGATCTCGAGAAAGGCGCGCGCGCGGCAGAATGCCCGCTCGCCCGCCTCCTCGACCACCCACCCCCTTACGGCTTCGAGACTTCGGCTCCGACATCGCCGCGTCGCCGAGCGTCGCATCGTCGACCGCGAGATACATCGAAGGACGAACGTTCTCCGACAAGTCGCGACGTCCAGTGCATAGGTAGCCACGCACCGATCGGCCTTTAAACTAAATTCGACGTTTCTATTTTCGCTCGATTCGCTTCCTCTTCGCCTTCGCGTTCGCATTCGTCAAAGACTTCCCCTCCGCGTTTATTTATTTTTTCCTCTCGTTCTCGTACGCCGACCCCTCTCACTCTCTCTCTCTCTCTCTCTATCCTTCCTTAATTTAATCCTATTTCTTCTTTTTTATCTATCTATTCGCTTACCTACGTACCTGTTCAATGGCCCATTCATCGAATTTCTACGATGCCCTTTATCTCATCCGATTTCTCTTTCGCGAGATAGCGAATAGACGCGTCGCACGTAAACGTTCGAACTCGCGTTAATCGTACGGTCGCTCGTAATATGCTCGAATCGCTGACCAATTGGAATTCCGCGTTTCTATAAACTCCCCCCTGCGTTTTTCGTCATCCGTATTACCGTCACTGCCGCGCCGCTTTTACCACAACCTTCTACACCGCCACTATCGCTTTTGCCACCACCTCCGTTACCGTCGATAATCATTCTAGCTCCGTCTCCGCTTTCGTGCTTGCTTCCATCGCCGACACTTTTTATACTTTATACGATAGTAACCGCCTTCGTTCTCCTTTTATAACTCGCGTTTTGTCCTTTCCTTTCGTTCCGATTCGCTAAACGTTTATCCGGCTAATTAACTCGATACTTCTAATCTAGTTTCGTCTCCTCCCTTCCTCTTTATTCCGCGTAATTCGTTACGCGTCCCGAACAAGGAATTCGAACCAACGTACGATTCGTTCGACCTTTTTGTCTAATTCTTTCGACGCTTTAGCCTTTCGGAACCGATTTTTTTTCCGAACATGAAATTAAACTACTCTTGCGTCAAGACTAATAAGATTAATAATATGAAATTTAGAGCCTACGAAACGTATTCCAATTGGAGCGTACGTAACGCGTACGGAAGGGGCATCATTCCGACGAACGATCAGTCGGTCGCGTCGTCGATGATCGCGTAAAAAAACCCGTACGACCGTAATTCTTTTCCGCTTTGTTGCTCTTTGATCTAACGCAACGTTTGGAAATACCGAGGAAAAGTAGTTAGTAATGCACCGAACTACTTTAGAAAAACTGTCTCGTCACGGTTCGCGTAAACTCGCGTTACGGTTGCATCAACCAACGACGGATTCGAACCGATTGCGTCATTTTACCTTCCACGCGTTCAGAATCGGATCCGCTTGTAA